CTTTCCCTCCTCCTCCAAAACAATCAGCTCCCAAAAACATTTTGTGCCTATTTTGCCCTGAGAAATGAGTGTTGTTTGCAATTTAGTGACTTCTTTTCCTATCAGAAGTTGGACATACATTATATTTCAGATGTGCTGGATTGAAGCCATTGTTTTTGCATTGTTCTTGATGCTCTTCTTCATTGCACCTTCTCATCTTGGGTTTCCTTGTTCTTTGTTTCCTTTTTTAAAATAATGGCAAAAAATACGAGCCGGTGTAGCAATAGCAGTTCTGCTGGGGAGGAGAAAATTGAGATATCGGTGTGTCCCTGCAAAGATGCCATGATTGAACTAGAGTAGAAAGACCTCATTCCAAAATTGGCTTGTGGATATGTGTAAAGTCAGCATTAAAAAGCTGACTTCGATAATGAAGTAGGAAGCCTGTGATAATGGCCAGGGCAAAAGACAATGCGAGAGTTGTCCAAACCAAGCAAGTGACATTGTGGTAAAATAGCATCTGTTTAATGAGGTCCTAACTCTTATGTTAAGAAATCTGGAACTCTAACTGGGACAAGAAACAGGTGTGTACCATTTAAGTAATTTATTTATTTGTTAGACTTTTACCCCGCCCTCCCGCCGAAGCGGCTCAGGGTGGCTCCGAAGCGGCTCAGGGCTGTTCAAAAAAAAAAAATTCCCAGGTATAAATCATCCAGAAATTAGTGGGTGCAAATATATTTCGGAATTTTATAGAAGTTTCAATTCTTTTCTCGATCTCAAGTCATAAAGCATGTTACCAAAGAACAACAGAGCATTAAACATAAAACATTTATTGGTGATAGATGTTAATTATTATTACAATTAGAGGATTGTGTCTTCCAATTAAGGCACGTTACCTTGAGCTATGATTCATACGTCATTCAGTTTAATTAAAAGTTGCATACTCTTACTCCTGCACCTCTTTTTTACAGGTTACTAAAGCTTTCCTTGGCTGTCCAGGACAAATAACTCTTCATACCCAACCATTCCTTGTGTGCGGCGGCGATGGATTTATTCATTCCAACTTTGATGGTTGTATAGAGTCAGCCATCAGTATTGTGGAGGCTTTAAAGTCCAGTTTGTAGGATTTTCATTGGGCTTCTTTTCCAGCATCAGTTTATATCGATGATGAATTATACAATGATATACTAAAACTCCGTATACTTGACCCGCTTGTCCTCTATTTTAAGAAAATAAATCATGAAAAGACTTCAAAGGTTTCTCAGATTTATAGCAGTAGTAGTGAATGTTGCTTATTTATTTGCTCTGCCTAGGGGACAATAACTGGCATAACTGTCGTGGCTTCTCTGGGTGTCAAAAGTGCCCGGAGAAGGGCAGTATGCTTTCTGTCTTCACCCAAATCACTCCCCGAAATTGAGGGAAACCAGGACTTCATTCTTACAGCGTCCACCTCCCAATGAACAGTAAAAAGGCCACCATGGTGTCATATTCACATGGTAAAATGAACTTGTGAAACGTTCAAGTGACCTAATCATAAACAATACTAAGGTAGGGGGAGGGATGTTTGTTTCAAAACATGCTTTGAATGTTATTTTACTGTACAGGAAGAGAATGCTCCAGTTCCTTCTGCTTCCTGTTTCTCTGCAGCAACGTCATGTCCAAAATACAGCCTCTCAGTATCTTCCCCATTGCGGTGATGAAACGGCTGTATTTTGGATGTGGTGCTACTGCAGAAGAACAGGAAGTCTATGGGACAAGCATGTCCTGTTCCTGAGCAACAAGAGAACTTCGAAACTTTCTCATGCTACCTTTTAGGCTGATTTTGCAAGAGCGTTTAACCACATGAATAACTGAGAGGAAACATCACCTCGTGGTGACTCTTCCACCATAGACATTGCTCTGTGAATCAGACCTTATAAGCAACTGTCACAGAAATGGGATTACCTGGTACCACTGCAGAACATATTTCAAAGCATTTTTTGTTCTGTGTGGCCGTGGTAGTTTTGCTGACATAAGCAAGAGCTGCTGTGACATCTCATAGTGGGAAGGAAGATCGAGCCATCCAAGTCCCCAGAAAATGCAATTCTATCCGGAGGGATGCAGGGCCTTCTATCCTCCCAAACAACTGGTTTCATCACTGCCTTGCATCAGGGTAAAGGCCACCTTCCCCTGAAGTAGCTGCAATGAAGGATGTTGTGCAGGGAATCAGTTACTTGAGCTGACACAAAACCCCCAGCTGGAGCCAATGAGTCCTTTCCGTGCCATGTTCAAAATGCTGAGGCATCAGATCAAACCCTTGTTAAGTATTGTGACGATTACTATTTAATTAGATCTATGTTTACCAGTCCTTTGGTGCCTGAGACACAGTCTTGTTCCGGATTAAACTGAAAGAAATCTCATACCAAGAGCCATCACAATGTAGTGATTATGGTGTCAAATGAGGATTTGGAAGGCCCAGGTTCGAGCATCTGCTTCATCATAAGCTCACTAGGCTAGTCACCCTCGGAGTAACGTAAGTCACAGGGTTGTTATAAGGGGGAGGGGGGAACAGAGGAAGACAGGACTTTGTACACCACCCTGGGTTTCTTGGAGGAAGGGAAGATAAAATGTGATATAAAAATAAATACACTCCAAAGGATACACATAGATTATCTCCACCAGCTCCCAAAACTTTGAGCTGGAATGCTAGGCCATTGCAACATTGCCCTCAGGAAGCCACCCTTCTCTTTGACTGGTCAGTCAAGGCACAGAAGTGGAACCATGCCTCATGGTCCAAGGTGATGCGCGTCAGATTCCACCACACCTGTCAAATGTAACATGGGCTACCTTGGGGAACCTCGGTGCATCCTTACGCTCTCACTTCTGATTGCGATGCCACCTGTATAGGCTGCACGGATCCTCCCCATTCCGATGGCATGGAATAGTGAATGCATGCCAATGAGCGCCTTGATTCTTCGGGAGAATTCATGCAATGCATTGTGGTGCTCTGCCCACAGCATGCTAATGACCTGGGTGAAATACTTTAAAATGTGTTGTGACAATTTCAGCCTTTACGTTTACGTGTTGTGAGTTTCAGCCTTTACGTTTACCTGTTACGTCACAACATCTGCAGTGTGTCACTGCCAGAATATTAGAGATGTTACCCGCCCCTGCCCCCCCCCTTCAGTTCCTTGCCTTTAGCGATGAAATTTGTTGCTTATGCTACAAATGGTCTGGCCAGGAACAATCTGGCTGTGGACATGAAAGAAAGAATTAAGAGGATTTGCAAGAAACTAAGCAGATTTATGTCTCCAGCAATCTCATTTCACTTGAGTTGCTACCTTGAAGTGTTCTCTAAGATACACACTCTTGTAATTGGGCTGCAACATTGCAGGCTTCAAGGAATTTAATATACAAAACGTTTCTGACCACAACAAAAGGCATCATTTGCGTTACGCCAGCAGTTGGTGATAATGATTGAATGGGTACTAAAACGTTGGAAATGTGACATAGAGACCACCAGTTATTGGTAACTGGTGTGCTTTTTCAAGGTCCCTTAGCCCTTGATAAGGATAGGCATAGAAATATTGTTGGAGTTGCAATCAAACCGTTCTGTGTATTTATGTTTTGCATGTGTTTTCCTTTTTATACTTAGTATTCCTGGCCAGATTCTTTATTCTTTGATCATTTCCATTGCTTTCAGTGGAAGACACGTTTCTATCTGTGATGTCTTATTTTTCCACCCAGTTGCAATGAAATTTGCAGGGAGTGTGCTCCTCACCCCAGGAACTCCAGCGGATAGAATAAAAATCTCTCTCTAGAAGCAATTCAATGCCTCATGTGTACCAAGGTATGAATTGCCAGGCAAGTTTCTCTTCCTCCCCCGGATCCTCAAGTGGAGGAATTAGGAGGGGTCAGTTTTTAAAACAAAATTGAAGTACATCTGCAAGGAGAAATAAACCTCCCCTACCGCTGTCTTGCCCTGGCCTGGATGGCCACAGCTAAGCTGGGTCAGGCCCTGGCTAGTATTTGGATGGGAGACCTCCAAGGAAGTCCAGGGTAGTTATGTGGAGGCAGGAAAAGGCAAACCACCTCTGAACGTCTCTTGCCTTGAAAACCCTTTGTGGTCGCAATAAGTCAGCCATGACTTGACCAAAAAAAAGCTGTCTTCCCACATTATACTAGGCTGATTTCATCATTTTTCTCCCACCCCAGCTAATTCCCCATAATGGAAAGCAGCCAGAAGAAAATGGTTAAAGCACTGGAATAAGGTGTGGGAGGGGAGCAGGTTTTGTTTAAAAACAAGTGCCCCCCCACACACACACACACACAGTTTTCTTTGCATATGACAGGAAAGTTTCCCTACTACAACGAAAAATAACTGGGAAGAGAAGGTTTGTTTCCAGAGGAAAGAGTAGATGCTTCTCATGAAATCAAAGACTTTAAGCAGTCTAAGATCTGGAATCAGCAGTTCTTTATTACATAAAGAGATGATCTGACCATCTTCATGACTGGTTAATGAATATCATTATTTCTGATTGTTGTTCATTTTACCCGTTCAGATTAGTTATACCTGCACTAAGAAGCAAGACCTATTCGGCTGAGACTTTGATTACTTATAACTGAAGGGCAGGAAGGCAGGCTGCTATACCGCAATGGAAACAGAAGTGATTCTTTGAAGTGTGCTCAGGGCACAGAGTAGTAAAGGTAAAGGTTCCCTTGCTTGAAAGCCAGTCGAATCCGACTCTAGGGTTGCGGTGCTCATCTCCGTTTCAAAGCCGAAGAGCCAGCGCTGTCCGAAGATGTTTCCGTGGTCATGTGGCTGGCATGACTAAACACCAAGGCGCACGGAACGCTGTTACCTTCCCACTGAAGTGGTACCTATTTATCTACTTGCAATTTCTTGCTTTTGAACTGCTAGGTTGGCAGGAGCTGGAACTAGAGATGGGAGCTCACTCCGCCATGTGGCACACTCGGGTCTCGAACTGCTGAACTACCGACCTTCCACAGCCTGCAGTTCAGCGTCTTAACCACTTGAGCCACCGCAGCTCCATAGGGCACAAACTACTTTTGTTCAAATTTTAACATTTAAGCCAAAAGATAACTTTCCTCTTCAGCCAGCAAGAGGCAGCAATGGAAGCTTCAATGAAACCACTGCCTTCCCACCCACCACCCACCCAGTCATGGAAATAGGGTTGACTGGATCCACCAGAAAAGTTCACAGAGGGTGTTGGATAGAGCAGATTTTCCCCCACCTTTCCCTTCCCCAGTAAGCCTGCCATTTGTCTCAAATCTCTTCTCTCTAAGGATCCAGAGAGTCTTGCAAGGAAGCTGTGCCACTAGGGACAGAGAGCTGCAACAACTATGGAGAATCAAGTAAAATCACCTCTTTCCCATTCCATTCATACCTTGCGTCTCCTCCTTCTTCTGGAATCATGTAGAAAACAGTCAGTGCCAATAACCTTTTTCACTGAACTTTGTTTCTCCCTCTCTGATCCGGTCGTAGTAGCTTCCTGCTCTTTTGGATGGGTCTCCTTCTCCAACACAGCTCACCACGTAAGCTGTGGAGGTGGTGTTGGTCTTTTCAGATCCTGCCAGTTCTAGTCTTTGTTCACACCCCCTTCTCACTACTTCTCAACTCTGGAAGTTCATTCTGTACAACTGCACTACTGTGTATGTCTACCTGGCTAAATATACTACGATTTTCTACCTTTGATGCTACTGAGTGCTGCATCGCTGAATTCCCACCTCCTCATTCTCTGCTCAGAGGACTTTGTCTCCTGCTTTAATAATAAGATTGAAACTATCCTCTCAACCTCTCCCACAGTTTTTATCCTTTTCCAGCTTTCCCACTTTCTACAACTACCTGAGTCCTTTATTCTTTGCCACTGCAGTGTCATTTGGTGAGGCAGTCAATCTGTCAATGGTGTTAAATCCCCTCCACGCGTCCTCTTGAATCCTTCCCTTCCCAGCATCTGCTGATCATCCCCAACCATTATCCACCCTCTCCGAATGTGTTCCCCCCATTTTCAAAAAAGCCATCACTTGACTTTTCATGCTTCTGTATGACTACATCATTTCTATGCAGGATTCAGTGCCGGTATTTCTTATTTAACATGTTAAGCTTTACATGGACCCTTTACAGGCTTCTTTATACATACTTATTTCGTGGCGAAACTTAAAGGGAGCGGTGGCACAGGCAGTAAATGAAACCTGCATTCCATCTGACCGAAC